CAGCAGCACCCCAGCAGCACCCCAGCAGCACCCCAGCAGCACCCCAGCAGCATTCCAGCAGCACCCCAGCAGCACCCAGCAGCACCCCAGCAGCACCTTAACAGCACCCCAGCAGCACCCTAACAGCACCCCAGCAGCACCCCAGCAGCACCCCAGCAGCACCCCAGCAGCACCCCAGCAGCACCCCAGCAGCACCCCAGCAGCACCCCAGCAGCACCCCAGCAGCACCCCAGCAGCACCCCAGCAGCACCCCAGCAGCACCCCAGCAGCACCCTAGCAGCACCCCAGCAGCACCCCAGCAGCACCCCAGCAGCACCCCAACAGCACCCCAGCAGCACCCCAGCAGCACCCCAGCAGCACCCCAGCAGCACCCCAGCAGCACCCTAGCGGTGGTCACCTGGCAACTTTCAGCTAACTCTGAGCACACTAGGACGGGTGAGGAGAGACGACCCCAGGGGCGGTGCAGGAGGCTCTGGGAGGGTATATAACACCTCACCTCTCACTGAGAGGCGAGGTAGATGTCTCACCTCTCACTGAGAGGTGAGGTAGATGTCTCACCTCTCACCGAGAGGTGAGGTGACCCTTGACCCCTCACACAAGTAACAGTGATGACCCTTGACCCCTCACATAAGTAACAGTGATGACCCTTGACCCCTCACATCAGTAAGTGATGACCCTTGACCCCACACATCAGTAACAGTGATGACCCTTGACCCCACACATCAGTAACAGTGATGACCCTTGACCCCACACATCAGTAACAGTGATGACCCTTGACCCCACACACAAGTAACAGTGATGACCATTGACCTTTCTCATGTGGAACTTAAATCGTCTTATCAACTAGGAGATAAATTTGAACTGTTTTATTGACATCATTCTATACATGATGAGATTGATGTCCTTGATAGCGGAGTGTTACGGTGCCCTCTCCTATTTCTTTCGTTTGCCCGCTTTAAGAGTCATATCAGCTCTCCCTACTGATTCTCTGAGGTTCAGGGAGTCTATTGATATGTGTGGCGACCAGACCGGCTGCCAGTTAAGGGAGAAAGTTACATTATAAGTTGTAAGTAAGGGGAAATTGGCGCCCTGGTATAAAATGAAAGGGTATCCCCTACTGCAGATATGACGTTTTGGAAGGGACAATAGCCGATCGCGGATTGGCCGACTTAGGTCGCGGGCGACCAATCAGGGCCCGCCGTGACGTCACCGAGTGCCCCGGGCGGCGCCAACGTCAGAGCTAGTTGACCTGACCGTGAAGGCGAGAGGACGCACCTCGGTCAGCTCTCAAGGATTTGAGGCTCTACAAGCCTTTCTTAGTGGATTAGAGCGGGCTATTGCAGCCCATCTTATGTATTGGAGACCCCGCGCTTCTGGGAAGCAAAAAGGAACCAAGTTTATTGAGCAAAAAGAGTGCCAAACTTGGAAAATATTCGGCGACGACGCTGGGCGGCGACGCTGGACGTTGAGGTCTGGAAAGTGTGGCGGGCAGGCCTAGCTGTGACCGGGTCACATCCACTGAGGGTTTTGGAAGGACGACACCGTGCCTAGGACAAGGATCAACGCCTTGTGGAAGGGGCGAGTGTGGGAAAATAGTGATTGGCTCAGTGTCCATCGATGAACCAGGATTGGGGTAGCTGAATCTCAGGGATTGGAACGGCGACGACACGAAGGCTCCACGACACCTGAGGACCGGTGGAACGTTCCTGGATCGTCGAGGATCGACTCAGGAAGCGTGGGAACCTCACACCATCGAGGGACAGTCGTCGTGAGCCAGGAATGTAAGGTAGATCATTTTCCCTCCCATTACCCCTTGTGTGAGTAGGCTAGTTAGGCCGCAATAGTTACTTATGTATGTGGCAATAGGACATTAATACTTTAGTAGTAGAATAGGCTGCAAGGCAGCTTGTGTCCAGGACTGTCAGAGGGGACAGTGTGTATGGATGGCAGGACAGTGAAGGAGAGGCGCCGACGTGGTGAAGAGGCCCTCCTGTGAGAGAGTGTGGGACTCCTGTCTTTCTGCCCAGTTGAAGGAGTGTTGGAGGTCGTGGAAGAAGAGGCTGACGATCTCCAGACTTATTATCCTTATTTCCATATTCATATATTACTTGTGATTGTATGTGTGTTCATGTAATTTGCATCAGTAAATTCACACTTTTATCATTGTGTTTAAGTGTGCCTCCATTATGATATTTCTCTATGAGCATACATGAGGGTTATTCATAGTACCACCAAGGGAACACTACGTTCTCTATAGAAGTTCTTATTGCCTGGAGAGTGGTAAAGACAGCACAGACCTATATAAAAGTGTACCCTTAGCCATCCGATCAGTATCAGTGCCTGAATGGTGGCAACTAGTAACGTGGTGGCTAGAGAGAGGTAAGGCCACACAGACCTTCCTGGGAGAGTACCCTGGGCCGACAGTCTAGTAGCAGATCTATGGGAGTAGCAATCTTCTGGCTACAAACAATATATAATACACCCACTGAACTGCATTGCTGGGGTGCAGATATAATAACCCAGCTGGCGACCTTGTTAAGAAGAAGATAGAGAAGACAGGCGAGAAAGGACTTCCTGCAACCTTTTTGTCTGGCAGGCAAGACTCAGGGAGGTTATGGTTATAAGGTGAGCCTGAGTCTTCCTTCACTCCTCCACGGGTCTAGGCCGGAACTGTCAACAGCAGTTTCTCCGTGTTTGTCTGAAGGGCTTCCAGGGTGAATCAGTGGCACCCCTCTTTTGTGGTGGAAGCAAAGACCTGCGGAGGTGGGCATGTTGGTCCTCTCCTGTGTGACCAAGGAGACTCCGGTGAATCCCGGGAGTCGGAGGGGCTGAGTATTCGGCCTTTTGAGCCCCTAGCAGCTGAGTGCTAGCAGAGCCCCGGCCCACCTCCACGTGACAGGAGTCAGCTCAAATTGATGTCCTTGATATCGTAGTCAGCTCAGACTGATGTCCTTGATAGCGTAGTCAGCTCAGATTGATGTCCTTGATAGCGTAGTCAGCTGAGATTGATGTCCTTGATAGCGTAGTCAGCTCAGACAGCCAAAACATCATTTAAATACCAGACTTTATTCAGCTCCGTGTGGCCTCTGTTGCATAAACCTTGCAACTCATCCTGCAGTTCCCATCGTGAGTCTTTTACACTTATCTGTCCATCCGCATCGACGTGTTAGAGGTTGTTATATGTGGTTGGCAATGTTGCGAGGGGCAACATATGTTGGAGCGTGTGTCCGGGGGGGAGCCCTCATGTGGCGCAATGTGTGTTGCTGCAAGCACATGGCCATGTTGTGTGTGATCATCAACACACGAGTCACAGCCTGCAACACCACCATCAACACACAAGAGGGGGGTTGAGAGAGAGGGGGAGGGAGGAGAGAGAGTAGGGAGTTTTTTTTTTATTTTTTTTTATTATTTTTTCTACCACAGACGTGGCCACACATTTACAATGCTAACCAGCATATATACATTTTCTTCTGTCCTCCATGGACAGGGTTAGAGATGTGTTAAACATATAGTTCAAGGGTTTATTGAACACTCAACCACAGAAGGTGATTCGGTGCTTTTAAAATGCTAAGCTAACCTACATACATAAATACATAGATAAACAGATTTACGTATGCCCTACATAAAGTGTTCGAAGTGTCATTAATGTTCATTTACAAAGTTGAAATGCAATTCTGATCAGCTTCCATATGTAGGGAATATATCATATCAGCTTCCATAGAGTAGGGAGTGGTGGGAGTGCCATGCGAGGGAGGGACAGGGACAGGTCAAGGGGAGGTGGCATGGCTGGTGTGGTGGGGGATAGGGACTAGGGGTGATGTAAGGGGTCAGGATGGAGTGAGAATATTGGGGAGGTGTATGGGGGTGGGAGGGGATGAAACCAAATGGGAGAGGGGGTGGTATGGTAGGGGGAGAGAGGTGCAGGAGAACGGGATTTTGGAAGGGGAAGAACAGAGCAATATCTTGAGGGAAAGGGGGAGATGAATGGGGTCAGGGTCTTGTGGGAGGGGACGAGGGAGGTGGGGGTTGCCACATGGGAGGGAGAGATGGGGTGTGTGGGGGACAGGTCAGGTCGGAGCTAGAGGAGTGGGCGGCCAGGGTGGGGGAGGGAGAAGGGGGCGAGGCTCTGCGTAAAATCATGCCAACTTACACGTAAACAAAACAGGTCAATAAACCACACTAGTACCCATCATGCCGCCGCGTACAGCTGAGACGGTCACCACTACCGCTCGCCGAGGCCTTCCAAACATTGCTGACCCGGTCAATACCGAACGTAAGCCACCTACGGTCTTTTATCAAGGGATCATTAACACACGAGAAGGGAATACGTTCCCAGATTTCAAAATTCCCGCCGGAACCTACCAGCTGATTAACGACAACAGTCACCATGGCAACGGCGACGCTCACACGCCCAAGGAACAGTGCTGTATACAGTTGTGTGTCGCCTGTTTCACCGTTCACTGCTCCGTAAACACCTGTTATGGCACTCACAGTTGTTTAATGTGTTGGAAAGCAATAATTCATCAACCCAACCAATATGATGTTAAGAAAGACACGATGACACTGTTGAGTCCAAGACGGTCATCTTGTGAGCCCAAGACGGTTATCTTGTGAGCCCAAGACGGTCACCTTGTGAGCCCAAGACGGTCATCTTGTGAGCCCAGGACGGTCATCTTGTGAGCCCAGGACGGTCATCTTGTGAGCCCAGGACGGTCATCTTGTGAGCCCAGGACGGTCATCTTGTGAGCCCAGGACGGTCATCTTGTGAGCCCAGGACGGTCATCTTGTGAGCCCAGGACGGTCATCTTGTGAGCCCAGGACGGTCATCTTGTGAGCCCAGGACGGTCATCTTGTGAGCCCAGGACGGTCATCTTGTGAGCCCAGGACGGTCATCTTGTGAGCCCAGGACGGTCATCTTGTGAGCCCAGGTCACGAGCCCCGACGGTCACGGTCATCTTGTGAGCCCAGGACGGTCATCTTGTGAGCCCAGGACGGTCATCTTGTGAGCCCAGGACGGTCATCTTGTGAGCCCAGGACGGTCATCTTGTGAGCCCAGGACGGTCATCTTGTGAGCCCAGGACGGTCATCTTGTGAGCCCAGGACGGTCATCTTGTGAGCCCAGGACGGTCATCTTGTGAGCCCAAGACGGTCATCTTGTGAGCCCAAGACGGTCATCTTGTGAGCCCAAGACGGTCATCTTGTGAGCCCAAGACGGTCATCTTGTGAGCCCAAGACGGTCATCTTGTGAGCCCAAGACGGTCATCTTGTGAGCCCAAGACGGTCATCTTGTGAGCCCAAGACGGTGATCTTGTGAGCCCAAGACGGTCATCTTGTGAGCCCAAGACGGTCATCTTGTGAGCCCAGGACGGTGATCTTGTGAGCCCAAGACGGTGATCTTGTGAGCCCAGGACGGTAATCTTGTGAGCCCAAGACGGTCATCTTGTGAGCCCAGGACGGTGATCTTGTGAGCCCAAGACGGTGATCTTGTGAGCCCAAGACGGTGATGGAGGCCAAGAAAGAGAGGGACTGTAACTTTGTGACCGACCTCACGCTGGGTCTTGTCGATACACTTAGTAAGTGTATCTTGGGTGTTGTGTCCTGAGGTGTAGTGTGGGGTGTTGTGTGGCCTGAGGTGTAGTGTGGGTGTTGTGTCCTGAGGTGTAGTGTGGGTGTTGTGTGGCCTGAGGTGTCGTGTGGGTGTTGTGTCCTGAGGTGTCGTGTGGGTGTTGTGTCCTGAGGTGTCGTGCGGGTGTTGTGTGGCCTGAGGTGTAGTGCGGGTGTTGTGTGGCCTGAGGTGTAGTGCGGGTGTTGTGTGGCCTGAGGTGTAGTGCGGGTGTTGTGTGGCCTGAGGTGTAGTGCGGGTGTTGTGTGGCCTGAGGTGTAGTGCGGGTGTTGTGTGGCCTGAGGTGTAGTGCGGGTGTTGTGTGGCCTGAGGTGTAGTGCGGGTGTTGTGTGGCCTGAGGTGTAGTGCGGGTGTTGTGTGGCCTGAGGTGTAGTGCGGGTGTTGTGTGGCCTGAGGTGTAGTGCGGGTGTTGTGTGGCCTGAGGTGTAGTGCGGGTGTTGTGTGGCCTGAGGTGTAGTGCGGGTGTTGTGTGGCCTGAGGTGTAGTGCGGGTGTTGTGTGGCCTGAGGTGTAGTGCGGGTGTTGTGTGGCCTGAGGTGTAGTGCGGGTGTTGTGTGGCCTGAGGTGTAGTGCGGGTGTTGTGTGGCCTGAGGTGTAGTGCGGGTGTTGTGTGGCCTGAGGTGTAGTGCGGGTGTTGTGTGGCCTGAGGTGTAGTGCGGGTGTTGTGTGGCCTGAGGTGTAGTGCGGGTGTTGTGTGGCCTGAGGTGTAGTGCGGGTGTTGTGTGGCCTGAGGTGTAGTGCGGGTGTTGTGTGGCCTGAGGTGTAGTGCGGGTGTTGTGTGGCCTGAGGTGTAGTGCGGGTGTTGTGTGGCCTGAGGTGTAGTGCGGGTGTTGTGTGGCCTGAGGTGTAGTGCGGGTGTTGTGTGGCCTGAGGTGTAGTGCGGGTGTTGTGTGGCCTGAGGTGTAGTGCGGGTGTTGTGTGGCCTGAGGTGTGCGGGTGTTGTGTGGCCTGAGGTGTAGTGCGGGTGTTGTGTGGCCTGAGGTGTAGTGCGGGTGTTGTGTGGCCTGAGGTGTAGTGCGGGTGTTGTGTGGCCTGAGGTGTAGTGCGGGTGGTGTGGCCTGAGGTGTAGTGCGGGTGTTGTGTGGCCTGAGGTGTAGTGCGGGTGTTGTGTGGCCTGAGGTGTAGTGCGGGTGTTGTGTGGCCTGAGGTGTAGTGCGGGTGTTGTGTGGCCTGAGGTGTAGTGCGGGTGTTGTGTGGCCTGAGGTGTAGTGCGGGTGTTGTGTGGCCTGAGGTGTAGTGCGGGTGTTGTGTGGCCTGAGGTGTAGTGCGGGTGTTGTGTGGCCTGAGGTGTAGTGCGGGTGTTGTGTGGCCTGAGGTGTAGTGCGGGTGTTGTGTGGCCTGAGGTGTAGTGCGGGTGTTGTGTGGCCTGAGGTGTAGTGCGGGTGTTGTGTGGCCTGAGGTGTAGTGCGGGTGTTGTGTGGCCTGAGGTGTAGTGCGGGTGTTGTGTGGCCTGAGGTGTAGTGCGGGTGTTGTGTGGCCTGAGGTGTAGTGCGGGTGTTGTGTGGCCTGAGGTGTAGTGCGGGTGTTGTGTGGCCTGAGGTGTAGTGCGGGTGTTGTGTGGCCTGAGGTGTAGTGCGGGTGTTGTGTGGCCTGAGGTGTAGTGCGGGTGTTGTGTGGCCTGAGGTGTAGTGCGGGTGTTGTGTGGCCTGAGGTGTAGTGCGGGTGTTGTGTGGCCTGAGGTGTAGTGCGGGTGTTGTGTGGCCTGAGGTGTAGTGCGGGTGTTGTGTGGCCTGAGGTGTAGTGCGGGTGTTGTGTGGCCTGAGGTGTAGTGCGGGTGTTGTGTGGCCTGAGGTGTAGTGCGGGTGTTGTGTGGCCTGAGGTGTAGTGCGGGTGTTGTGTGGCCTGAGGTGTAGTGCGGGTGTTGTGTGGCCTGAGGTGTAGTGCGGGTGTTGTGTGGCCTGAGGTGTAGTGCGGGTGTTGTGTGGCCTGAGGTGTAGTGCGGGTGTTGTGTGGCCTGAGGTGTAGTGCGGGTGTTGTGTGGCCTGAGGTGTAGTGCGGGTGTGTGTGTTGTGTGGCCTGAGGTGTAGTGCGGGTGTTGTGTGGCCTGAGGTGTAGTGCGGGTGTTGTGTGGCCTGAGGTGTAGTGCGGGTGTTGTGTGGCCTGAGGTGTAGTGCGGGTGTTGTGTGGCCTGAGGTGTAGTGCGGGTGTTGTGTGGCCTGAGGTGTAGTGCGGGTGTTGTGTGGCCTGAGGTGTAGTGCGGGTGTTGTGTGGCCTGAGGTGTAGTGCGGGTGTTGTGTGGCCTGAGGTGTAGTGCGGGTGTTGTGTGGCCTGAGGTGTAGTGCGGGTGTTGTGTGTGTAGCCTGAGGTGTAGTGCGGGTGTTGTGTGGCCTGAGGTGTAGTGCGGGTGTTGTGTGGCCTGAGGTGTAGTGCGGGTGTTGTGTGGCCTGAGGTGTAGTGCGGGTGTTGTGTGGCCTGAGGTGTAGTGCGGGTGTTGTGTGGCCTGAGGTGTAGTGCGGGTGTTGTGTGGCCTGAGGTGTAGTGCGGGTGTTGTGTGGCCTGAGGTGTAGTGCGGGTGTTGTGTGGCCTGAGGTGTAGTGCGGGTGTTGTGTGGCCTGAGGTGTAGTGCGGGTGTTGTGTGGCCTGAGGTGTAGTGCGGGTGTTGTGTGGCCTGAGGTGTAGTGCGGGTGTTGTGTGGCCTGAGGTGTAGTGCGGGTGTTGTGTGGCCTGAGGTGTAGTGCGGGTGTTGTGTGGCCTGAGGTGTAGTGCGGGTGTTGTGTGGCCTGAGGTGTAGTGCGGGTGTTGTGTGGCCTGAGGTGTAGTGCGGGTGTTGTGTGGCCTGAGGTGTAGTGCGGGTGTTGTGTGGCCTGAGGTGTAGTGCGGGTGTTGTGTGGCCTGAGGTGTAGTGCGGGTGTTGTGTGGCCTGAGGTGTAGTGCGGGTGTTGTGTGGCCTGAGGTGTAGTGCGGGTGTTGTGTGGCCTGAGGTGTAGTGCGGGTGTTGTGTGGCCTGAGGTGTAGTGCGGGTGTTGTGTGGCCTGAGGTGTAGTGCGGGTGTTGTGTGGCCTGAGGTGTAGTGCGGGTGTTGTGTGGCCTGAGGTGTAGTGCGGGTGTTGTGTGGCCTGAGGTGTAGTGCGGGTGTTGTGTGGCCTGAGGTGTAGTGCGGGTGTTGTGTGGCCTGAGGTGTAGTGCGGGTGTTGTGTGGCCTGAGGTGTAGTGCGGGTGTTGTGTGGCCTGAGGTGTAGTGCGGGTGTTGTGTGGCCTGAGGTGTAGTGCGGGTGTTGTGTGGCCTGAGGTGTAGTGCGGGTGTTGTGTCCTGAGGTGTAGTGCGGGTGTTGTGGCCTGAGGTGTAGTGCGGGTGTTGTGGCCTGAGGTGTAGTGCGGGTGTTGTGTCCTGAGGTGTAGTGCGGGTGTTGTGGCCTGAGGTGTAGTGCGGGTGTTGTGGAGGTGTAGTGCGGGTGTTTGTGGCCTGAGGTGTAGTGCGGGTGTTGTGGCCTGAGGTGTAGTGCGGGTGTTGTGGCCTGAGGTGTAGTGTGGGTGTTGTGTGGCCTGAGGTGTAGTGCGGGGTGTTGTGTAGGCCTGAGGTGTAGTGCGGGTGTTGTGTGGCCTGAGGTGTAGTGTGGGTGTTGTGTGGCCTGAGGTGTAGTGCGGGTGTTGTGTGGCCTGAGGTGTAGTGCGGGTGTTGTGTGGCCTGAGGTGTAGTGTGGGTGTTGTGTGGCCTGAGGTGTAGTGTGGGTGTTGTGGGGCCTGAGGTGTAGTGTGGGTGTTGTGTCCTAAGGTGTAGTGTGGGTGTTGTGTGGCCTGAGGTGTAGTGTGGGTGTTGTGTGGCCTGAGGTGTAGTGTGGGTGTTGTGTGGCCTGAGGTGTAGTGTGGGTGTTGTGTGGCCTGAGGTGTAGTGTGGGTGTTGTGTCCTAAGGTGTAGTGTGGGTGTTGTGTCCTAAGGTGTAGTGTGGGTGTTGTGTCCTAAGGTGTATTGTGGGTGTTGTGTGGCCTGAGGTGTAGTGTGGGTGTTGTGTGGCCTGAGGTGTAGTGCGGGTGTTGTGTGGCCTGAGGTGTAGTGTGGGTGTTGTGTGGCCTGAGGTGTAGTGCGGGGTGTTGTGTGGCCTGAGGTGTAGTGCGGGGTGTTGTGTGGCCTGAGGTGTAGTGCGGGGTGTTGTGTGGCCTGAGGTGTAGTGTGGGTGTTGTGTGGCCTGAGGTGTAGTGTGGGTGTTGTGGCCTGAGGTGTAGTGTGGGTGTTGTGTGGCCTGAGGTGTAGTGTGGGTGTTGTGTGGCCTGAGGTGTAGTGTGGGTGTTGTGTGGCCTGAGGTGTAGTGTGGGTGTTGTGTGGCCTGAGGTGTAGTGTGGGTGTTGTGTGGCCTGAGGTGTAGTGTGGGTGTTGTGTGGCCTGAGGTGTAGTGCGGGTGTTGTGTGGCCTGAGGTGTAGTGTGGGTGTTGTGTCCTAAGGTGTAGTGTGGGTGTTGTGTCCCTTATGTTAAACTTGGCGCTCAATACCTAATGTTTACTATTCATACTCGGCCTCATACTGATCCTCACACTTGGCCTCATACTGATCCTCACACTCGGCCTTATACTGATCCTCACACTCATACTGATCCTCACACTCATACTGATCCTCACCCTCATACTGATCCTCACCCTCATACTGATCCTCACCCTCATACTGATCCTCGCACTCATACTGATCCTCACACTCATACTGATCCTCACCCTCATACTGATCCTCACCCTCATACTGATCCTCACCTTCATACTGATCCTCACCCTCATACCCATACTAATCCTCACCCTCATACTGATCATCACACTCATACTGATCCTCACACTCATACTGATCCTCACACTCATACTGATCCTCACCCTCATACTGATCCTCACCCTCATACTGATCCTCACCCTCATACTGATCCTCACCCTCATACTGATCTTCACCCTCATACTGATCCTCACCTTCATACTGATCCTCACCCTCATATTGATACTCATACTGATACTCATACTGATCCTCACCCTCATACTGATACTCATACTGATCCTCACCCTCATACTGATACTCATACTGATCCTCACCCTCATACTGATACTCATACTGATCCTCACCCTCATAATGATCCTCACAATCATACTGATACTCATACTGATCCTCACCCTCATACTGATCCTCACTCATACTGATCCTCACCCTCATACTGATCCTCATACTGATCCTCACCCTCATACTGATCCTCATACTGATCCTCACCCTCATACTGATACTCATACTGATCCTCACCCTCATACTGATACTGATCCTCACCCTCATACTGATACTGATCCTCACCCTCATACTGATACTGATCCTCACCCTCATACTGATCCTCACACTCATACTGATCCTCACACTCATACTGATCCTCACACTCATACTGATCCTCACCCTCATACTGATCCTCACCCTCATACTGATCCTCACCCTCATACTGATCCTCACCCTCATACTGATCCTCACCCTCATACTGATCCTCACCCTCATACTGATCCTCATACTGATCCTCACCCTCATACTGATCCTCACCCTCATACTGATCCTCACCCTCATACTGATACTCATACTGATCCTCACCCTCATACTGATCCTCACACTCATACTGATACTCATACTGATCCTCACATTCATACTGATCCTCATACTGATCCTCACCCTCATACTGATCCTCACACTCATACTGATCCTCACACTCATACTGATCCTCACACTCATACTGATCCTCATACTGATCCTCATACTGATCCTCACACTCATACTGATACTGATACTGATCCTCACACTCACACTGATCCTCACACTCATGCTGATCCTCACACTCATGCTGACCCTCACACAACCTCATACTGATCCTCACACTCGGCCTCATACCGATCCTCACACTCGGCCTCATACCGATCCTCACACTCAGCCTCATACCGATCCTCACACTCAGCCTCATACCGATCCTCACACTCAGCCTCATACCGATCCTCACACTCAGCCTCATACCGATCCTCACACTCAGCCTCATACCGATCCTCACACTCAGCCTCATACCGATCCTCACACTCAGCCTCATACCGATCCTCACACTCAGCCTCATACCGATCCTCACACTCAGCCTCATACCGATCCTCACACTCAGCCTCATACCGATCCTCACACTCAGCCTCATACCGATCCTCACACTCAGCCTCATACCGATCCTCACACTCAGCCTCATACCGATCCTCACACTCAGCCTCATACCGATCCTCACACTCAGCCTCATACCGATCCTCACACTCAGCCTCATACCGATCCTCACACTCAGCCTCATACCGATCCTCACACTCAGCCTCATACCGATCCTCACACTCAGCCTCATACCGATCCTCATACTCATCCTCACACTCAGCCTCATACCGATCCTCACACTCAGCCTCATACCGATCCTCACACTCAGCCTCACACCGATCCTACCGATCACTCAGCCTCATACCGATCCTCACACTCAGCCTCATACCGATCCTCACACTCAGCCTCATACCGATCCTCACACTCAGCCTCATACCGATCCTCACACTCAGCCTCATACCGATCCTCACACTCAGCCTCATACCGATCCTCACACTCAGCCTCATACCGATCCTCACACTCAGCCTCATACCGATCCTCACACTCAGCCTCATACCGATCCTCACACTCAGCCTCATACCGATCCTCACACTCAGCCTCATACCGATCCTCACACTCAGCCTCATACCGATCCTCACACTCAGCCTCATACCGATCCTCACACTCAGCCTCATACCGATCCTCACACTCAGCCTCATACCGATCCTCACACTCAGCCTCATACCGATCCTCACACTCAGCCTCATACCGATCCTCACACTCAGCCTCATACCGATCCTCACACTCAGCCTCTCATACCTCATCCTCACACTCAGCCTCATACCGATCCTCACACTCAGCCTCATACCGATCCTCACACTCAGCCTCATACCGATCCTCACACTCAGCCTCATACCGATCCTCACACTCAGCCTCATACCGATCCTCACACTCAGCCTCATACCGATCCTCACACTCAGCCTCATACCGATCCTCACACTCAGCCTCATACCGATCCTCACACTCAGCCTCATACCGATCCTCACACTCAGCCTCATACCGATCCTCACACTCAGCCTCATACCGATCCTCACACTCAGCCTCATACCGATCCTCACACTCAGCCTCATACCGATCCTCACACTCAGCCTCATACCGATCCTCACACTCAGCCTCATACCGATCCTCACACTCAGCCTCATACCGATCCTCACACTCAGCCTCATACCGATCCTCACACTCAGCCTCATACCGATCCTCACACTCAGCCTCATACCGATCCTCACACTCAGCCTCATACCGATCCTCACACTCAGCCTCATACCGATCCTCACACTCAGCCTCATACCGATCCTCACACTCAGCCTCATACCGATCCTCACACTCAGCCTCATACCGATCCTCACACTCAGCCTCATACCGATCCTCACACTCAGCCTCATACCGATCCTCACACTCAGCCTCATACCGATCCTCACACTCAGCCTCATACCGATCCTCACACTCAGCCTCATACCGATCCTCACACTCAGCCTCATACCGATCCTCACACTCAGCCTCATACCGATCCTCACACTCAGCCTCATACCGATCCTCACACTCAGCCTCATACCGATCCTCACACTCAGCCTCATACCGATCCTCACACTCAGCCTCATACCGATCCTCACACTCAGCCTCATACCGATCCTCACACTCAGCCTCATACCGATCCTCACACTCAGCCTCATACCGATCCTCACACTCAGCCTCATACCGATCCTCACACTCAGCCTCATACCGATCCTCACACTCAGCCTCATACCGATCCTCACACTCAGCCTCATACCGATCCTCACACTCAGCCTCATACCGATCCTCACACTCAGCCTCATACCGATCCTCACACTCAGCCTCATACCGATCCTCACACTCAGCCTCATACCGATCCTCACACTCAGCCTCATACACTCAGATCCTCACACTCAGCCTCATACCGATCCTCACACTCAGCCTCATACCGATCCTCACACTCAGCCTCATACCGATCCTCACACTCAGCCTCATACCGATCCTCACACTCAGCCTCATACCGATCCTCACACTCAGCCTCATACCGATCCTCACACTCAGCCTCATACCGATCCTCACACTCAGCCTCATACCGATCCTCACACTCAGCCTCATACCGATCCTCACACTCAGCCTCATACCGATCCTCACACTCAGCCTCATACCGATCCTCACACTCAGCCTCATACCGATCCTCACACTCAGCCTCATACCGATCCTCACACTCAGCCTCATACCGATCCTCACACTCAGCCTCATACCGATCCTCACACTCAGCCTCATACCGATCCTCACACTCAGCCTCATACCGATCCTCACACTCAGCCTCATACCGATCCTCACACTCAGCCTCATACCGATCCTCACACTCAGCCTCATACCGATCCTAACGCTACTCTCATTGACTCTGCCTCACACACGCCTCACATACAACTGTTCATAAATTCCTGGCACATATCACATGTTGCACGAGGCGTAGGTGTGTTGCAAGAAGCACGGGCGTCTTGCAAGACACGTGGAGGTGTTGCAGACGGCGTGTGTGTGTGTTGCAAGAGGCGTAGGTGCCTCTGGGAACATTTGGGTGCGACAGAGCAAGCGTTGCTTGTGACGCAATGTGCGTGGACACTAAGAGAAAGGTTGCGTGTGTTGCAGGAGGCGTGGGGGGCGTGCAGGACGTGAGTGTGGTGGTGCGTGGGGGCGTGGAGCGCGCCTCCGTGGTGGCGTGGGAGCAGCGGCACAACGTAGCCCTGCCGGCGGCACTCAGGGCCCTCTACACCGCCACCGACGGCTTCAAACTCACCTGGAACTACGCCACAGCAGGTCCGTCCCCTCTTGTGACACCTGGCACTCTTGTCACCTGGCACTTCCGCCTCACCCGGCACTCCTGTGTCACCTGGCACTGTCACCTGGCACTCCTGTGTCACCTGGCACTCCTGTGTCACCTGGCACTCCTGTGTCACCTGGCACTCCTGTGTCACCTGGCACTCCTGTGTCACCTGGCACTCCTGTGTCACCTGGCACTCCTGTGTCACCTGGCACTCCTGTGTCACCTGGCACTCCTGTGTCACCTGGCACTCCTGTGTCACCTGGCACTCCTGTGTCACCTGGCACTCCTGTGTCACCTGGCACTCCTGTGTCACCTGGCACTCCTGTGTCACCTGGCACTCCTGTGTCACCTGGCACTCCTGTGTCACCTGGCACTCCTGTGTCACCTGGCACTCCTGTGTCACCTGGCACTACTGTGACACCTGGCACTACTGTGACACCTGGCACTACTGTGTCACCTGGCACTACTGTGACACCCGGCACTACTGTGACACCCGGCACTACTGTGACACCCGGCACTACTGTGACACCCGGCACTACTGTGACACCTGGCACTGTGACACCTGGCACTACTGTGACACCTGGCACTACTGTGACACCTGGCACTACTGTGACACCTGGCACTACTGTGACACCTGGCACTACTGTGTCACCTGGCACTACTGTGACACCTGGCACTACTGTGTCACCTGGCACTACTGTGACACCTGGCACTACTGTGACACCTGGCACTACTGTGTCACCTGGCACTACTGTGTCACCTGGCACTACTGTGACACCTGGCACTACTGTGACACCTGGCACTACTGTGACACCTGGCACTACTGTGACACCTGGCACTACTGTGACACCTGGCACTACTGTGTCACCTGGCACTACTGTGTCACCTGGCACTACTGTGACACCTGGCACTACTGTGACACCTGGCACTACTGTGACACCTGGCACTACTGTGTCACCTGGCACTACTGTGACACCTGGCACTACTGTGACACCTGGCACTACTGTGACACCTGGCACTCCTGTGCTCAAGAAGCATCAATGTAATTCTTCACTAAATGTTTCCTAGGCATGACACAGTGGGGTCCAACCTGACCCCACCTCACACTGGGAGATCGAACGGGTGTTAACGTATTGTGTTGTGAACGCCTCTCCTCTCCCCAGGGAAGGTGCTGCCACTGGGGAACATGGAGATCCACCCACTGGGGAGGGTCAACAGGCTGGGGAGTGGGAGGGGGAGCGGAGACCCCCTCGCCCCCTCCATCACCGACCTGGCCCTGGCTGAGGACCCCCCCTCTCCTGCAGAACACCCCCAGCACCGCCCAGGGGGGTCACGACCCCCACTCACGCCGCCCCCAACCTTCCACTCCTCTAAGATGTTCGAGGTGGACAGCTGTCAAGGCTTTGGTAAGTTTCTGGTGTGTGTGTCAAGGCTTTGGTAAGTTTCTGGTGTGTGTGTCAAGGCTTTGTCAAGTCTCTGGTGTGTGTGTGTGTGTCAAGGAGTAACCTCACTATATACGTCACTATAGGACCGGTCTTAACATGATCTTCACTACAGTGTTTAGCATCCCATCCCCACCCTATGCAGGGTCCTGTAGCACAGTGGTCTACGTCTTCGGCTCACAACCGAAGATCCCGGGTTCACCTCCCGGGCAGGACAGAAATGATTGGGCATCTTTTCATATAATGACTAAGTTCACCAAGCAGTATAGTACGCCCCCGGACGTTAGACAACTGCTGTGGGTTCGTCACTGACCATGGAGGACCTCGAGAAGCCATATGTCCAGGCTTCCTGTCCCAGAGCACCACATTTAAAGTGAATCTTGAGGTTACCTTGAGATGATTTCGGGGCTTAGCGTCCCCGCGGCCCGGTCCTCGACCAGGCCTACTCCTATTGGTTACACATTCCCAGGAAGCAGCATGTAGCAGTTGTACCTCCCGGGTACCTATTTACTGCTAGGTGAACAGATGCATCACGGTGATAGAAATTCTGTCCATTTGTTTCCGCCTCCGCCAGGGATCGAACCCGGAACCTTAGGATTACGAATCCCGAGCGCTTCTTACTCAGCCGTTAGGCCCTCTATGTGAAAAACACATTTTTAAAATAACATTTCAATACAAAACATAACTATAATTAAAGGGGAGCATGGAACACTGAGGGGGAGCGTAGAACGCTGAGGGGGAGTGTAGAACACTGAGGGGGAGTGTAGAACACTGAGGGGGAGCATGGAACACTGAGGGGGGAGTGTAGAACACTGAGGGGGAGTGTAGAACACTGAGGGGGAGTGTAGAACACTGAGGGGGAGCATGGAACACTGAGGGGGAGCATGGAACACTGAGGGGGAGTGTAGAACACTGAGGGGGAGTGTAGAACACTGAGGGGGAGTGTAGAACACTGAGGGGGAGCGTAGAACACCGAGGGGGAGCGTAGAACACCGAGGGGGAGCGTGGAACACCGAGGGGGAGCGTAGAACACCGAGGGGGAGCGTAGAACACCGAGGGGGAGCGTAGAACACTGAGGGGGAGCGTAGAACACTGAGGGGGAGCGTAGAACACTGAGGGGGAGCGTAGAACACTGAGGGGGAGCGTAGAACACTGAGGGGGAGCGTGGAACACTGAGGGGGAGCGTGGAACACTGAGGGGGAGCGTGGAACACTGAGGGGGAGCGTGGAACACTGAGGGGGAGCGTAGAACACTGAGGGGGAGCGTAGAACACTGAGGGGGAGCGTAGAACACTGAGGGGGAGCGTAGAACACTGAGGGGGAGCGTAGAACACTGAGGGGGAGCGTAGAACACTGAACACTGGGGGGAGCGTAGAACACTGAGGGGGAGCGTAGAACACTGAGGGGGAGCGTAGAACACTGAGGGGGAGCGTAGAACACTGAGGGGGAGCGTAGAACACTGAGGGGGTAGAACACTGAGGGGGAGCGTAGAACACTGAGGGGGAGCGTAGAACACTGAGGGGGAGCGTAGAACACTGAGGGGGAGCGTAGAACACTGAGGGGGAGCGTAGAACACTGAGGGGGAGCGTAGAACACTGAGGGGGAGCGTAGAACACTGAGGGGGAGCGTAGAACACTGAGGGGGAGCGTAGAACACTGAGGGGGAGCGTAGAACACTGAGGGGGAGCGTAGAACACTGAGGGGGAGCGTAGAACACTGAGGGGGAGTAGAACACTGGGGGGAGCGTAGAACACTGAGGGGGAGCGTAGAACACTGAGGGGGAGCGTAGAACACTGAGGGGGAGCGTAGAACACTGAGGGGGAGCGTAGAACACTGAGGGGGAGCGTAGAACACTGAGGGGGAGCGTAGAACACTGAGGGGGAGCGTAGAACACTGAGGGGGAGCGTAGAACACTGAGGGGAGCGTAGAACACTGAGGGGGAGCGTAGAACACTGAGGGGGAGCGTAGAACACTGAGGGGGAGCGTAGAACACTGAGGGGGAGTGTAGAACACTGAGGGGGAGTGTAGAACACTGAGGGGGAGTGTAGAACACTGAGGGGGAGTGTAGAACACTGAGGGGGAGTGTAGAACACTGAGGGGGAGTGTAGAACACTGAGGGGGAGTGTAGAACACTGAGGGGGAGTGTAGAACACTGAGGGGGTGTAGAACACTGTAGAACACTGAGGGGGAGTGTAGAACACTGAGGGGGAGTGTAGAACACTGAGGGGGAGTGTAGAACACTGAGGGGGAGTGCACTAGAACACTGAGGGGGAGTGTAGAACACTGAGGGGGAGTGTAGAACACTGAGGGGGAGCGTAGAACACTGAGGGGGAGCGTAGAACACTGAGGGGGAGCGTAGAACACTGAGGGGGAGTGTAGAACACCGAGGGGGAGTGTAGAACACTGAGGGGGAGTGTAGAACACTGAGGGGGAGTGTAGAACACTGAGGGGGAGAGTAGAACACTGAGGGGGAGCATGGAACACTGAGGGGGAGTGTAGAACACTGAGGGGGAGTGTAGAACACTGAGGGGGGAGCATGGAACACTGAGGGGGAGAGCGTAGAACAGTGAGGGTGAGAGCGTAGAACAGTGAGGGGGAGAGCGCAGAACAGTGAGGGTGAGAGCGCAGAACAGTGAGGGTGAGAGCGCAGAACAGTGAGGGTGAGAGCGCAGAACAGTGAGGGTGAGAGCGCAGAACAGTGAGAGAGCGCAGAACAGTGAGGCAGAACAGTGAGGGTGAGAGCGCAGAACAGTGAGGGTGAGAGCGCAGAACAGTGAGGGTGAGAGCAGAACAGTGCAGAACAGTGAGGGTGAGAGCGCAGAACAGTGAGGGGAGAGCGCAGAACAGTGAGGGTGAGAGCGCAGAACAGTGAGGGTGAGAGCGCAGAACAGTGAGGGTGAGAGCGCAGAACAGTGAGGGTGAGAGCGCAGAACAGTGAGGGGTGAGAGAGCGCAGAGGGTGAGAGCGCAGAACAGTGAGGGTGAGAGCGCAGAACAGTGAGGGTGAGAGCGCAGAACAGTGAGGGTGAGAGCGCAGAACAGTGAGGGTGAGAGCGCAGAACAGTGAGCGCAGAACAGTGAGGGTGAGAGCGCAGAACAGTGAGGGTGAGAGCGCAGAACAGTGAGGGTGAGAGCGCAGAACAGTGAGGGTGAGAGCGCAGAAACAGTGAGGGTGAGAGCGCAGAACAGTGAGGGTGAGAGCGCAGAACAGTGAGGGTGAGAGCGCAGAAGTGAGGGTGAGAGCGCAGTGAGGGTGAGAGCGCAGAACAGTGAGGGTGAGAGCGCAGAACAGTGAGGGTGAGAGCGCAGAACAGTGAGGGTGAGAGCGCAGAACAGTGAGGGTGAGAGCGCAGAACAGTGAGGGTGAGAGCGCAGAACAGTGAGGGTGAGAGCGCAGAACAGTGAGGGTGAGAGCGCAGAACAGTGAGGGTGAGAGCGCAGAACAGTGAGGGTGAGAGCGCAGAACAGTGAGGGTGAGAGCGCAGAACAGTGAGGGTGAGAGCGCAGAACAGTGAGGGTGAGAGCGCAGAACAGTAGAACAGTGAGGGTGAGAGCGCAGAACAGTGAGGGTGAGAGCGTAGAACAGTGAGGGTGAGAGCGTAGAACAGTGAGGGTGAGAGCGCAGAACAGTGAGGGTGAGAGCGCAGAAGAGCAGTGAGGGGGAGCGCAGAACAGTGAGGGCGAGAGCGCAGAACAGTGAGGGTGAGAGCGCAGAACAGTGAGGGTGAGAGCGCAGAACAGTGAGGGTGAGAGCGCAGAACAGTGAGGGTGAGAGCGCAGAACAGTGAGGGTGAGAGCGCAGAACAGTAAGGGGGAGCGTAGAACAGTGAGGGTGAGAGCGTGGAGTAACCAACCGGTGTTGACAGGGCGCGTGGTGGTGGCGTACCCAGGACGAGGGGAGACCTTCCCGGAGGGGTCCTACTGGTTCATCGACCTGTCCCTGCGGCCGCACCAGCTGGCGCCCGACACCCACACCTTCTGGCGGCTCATGCTGGCCCACCTGGGCATGCCCCAGTGGCAAGCTCTAGTTGCTGGGCTCGGCCTCACACCCTGGGCTCGGGTATGTCTTCCTCGCCACCTACAGTGCATCTGCTTCGTGTGTGTGTGTGTGTGTGTGTGTGTGTGTGTGTGTGTGTGTGTGTGTGTACGTGACCGTGTGTGTGTGTGTGTGTGTGTGTGTGTGTACGTGACCGTGTGTGTGTGTGTGTGTACGTGACCGTGTGTGTGTGTGTGTGCGTACGTGACCGTGTGTGTGTGTGTACGTGACCGTGTGTGTGTACGTGACCGTATGTGTGAGTGCATGTGGGCGTGTGTAAGTATGGAAGGCTATGTAGCACTATCAATTGTGCAGGATATTCATAGGGCGCTAAATATCACCAAGGATGCCAATATGAGAACAAAAAGCATATAAGGCGAAGGATATCAAAGGGATCCGATTCACCAATTGAAGGACAATTAAGTGACCGCGAGGGACGGTCGGGAAGCAAGACACACGCTCGTCCTGGAAGTCAGGACATTCAACAAGGATATGCACGACTGTAAGAGGGACAATGTAGTTTGGACAATAAGGAGCAGGGCGGCGCTCCATTAAGTGTCCGCGAGTTAAACGTGTCTGGCCAATACACAACCTTGCCAGAGCCGTTTCCCACCACCGGTTACGGTGGTAGGAGGAAGGCCACGGGGGGACACCACTCTTAAGAGCACGCTATTTGTTACCAATAACGGAAGACCAACAATCCTGCCAACAGGCAAGGATGGAAGAATGAATAATAAGGTAAAAGTCGGAATAAGGAATACCTTTACGGGAGATGGGAGAAGTGTGGATAGCTTCCTTAGTGGCAGCATCCGCACACTCATTTAAAGAGCTAACAATATGGCTGGGAACCCAGCAGAACTCTACCGTCTTAAAGTTAATGGATAACAAACAACCAATGTTGAATCTCGACTACCACCAGATAGACTGGATTAAAGGACTCCAGAGTCATGAGGGCACTGCGAGAGTCAACTACAACCACAAACGAGGGTTGACAGTGAGAAAGCAGGAGGAGACGAACATAGAGAATAGCATAAATTTCTGCCGTGAAGATTCTAGTCTTCGGAGGCAGGCAACACATATAGGCGTGGTCAGGAAAAACAACAGTAGACTACACCGTCTGCAGACTTGAACCCATCGGTGAAGACGGAAATTGAGTGGGAGTGTGAAGAAAAGTGTTCAAGGAAAAGGCGTTTCAGGACCGTAGGAGAGGTAAAAGCTATAGTGATCCAGGTCAGGGATTTATAAAATTTAGGAAGGGGGACCCTCCACTGGGGCAAGGACGGAACACGAGGGGAAATACTGGTAATATTAACCAAAAGGGAATTTTGCAGACAAGACAACCGAATAGAAAGAGGGAGGTGGTGAAGGGAAACAGGAACTACAGGAGGGGTAAAAGTCAAAGCCCGACTTAGGCGAGAGTAAAGTTGTTGTCAAGACCACATAAGGTAGTGAAGACAGTGGCAATCACGGCGGTGCTGGAGAGACAGGAAGCCAGTGTCAATATACAAGCAATATACTATAAACAAGGTAGATTTGCACCTCAGCTCTAGTGCCTTTCGAAGAAAGGCACTAGAGCTGAGGTGCAAATCAGTATGGTGCAAAGCATCAAGACAGCGAAGAGTAGAAGGAGAAGCAGACAAGTAAGCAGGGCAACCACAATCGAGTTTAGACAGTACGAAAGAGGAATGTAAAGAGAGGAGCGTGCACCTATCCGCTTCCCAAGAAGTATGGGACAAAATCTTAAGAAGGTTAAGGGCCTTAGAGCATTCAACTCTGAGGCAAGAGATATGGGGTGACCAAGACAAACGAGTGATAAAGATTAACCCCAAAAGCTTAGCAGAATCTTGGTACACAAGGGGATGACCATAAAGTGACAGACGAAGAACGAGTTGCTTCCGAGTAAAAGTCATAGCCCAAGTCTTAGTCGCAGAGAACTCTAAGCCATGATTGGTGGTGTGGGACATTTGGGGCTTGAATCTAATTATTTAAATATTAATATAGTAAATTAAATTACGAAGGACCACCCGCTTTTATAGTAAAGAGGGAAACTGAGAAATTATGATCATTAGGTAATTCCTAGATGAACCAGTGACTATGGATAAAATACTAGAGAATATGATCATAGAAATAATTAATGGGCTGTATAATTAAATGAATCAAACCTCAAACACCTACATTGGGGGGTTATTACTGGAACTCAGTACGTCCAGGAACTAGTGTGGTTCGTTCACTAATCCAAAGTATAATAATCTAATCCTATGAATACTTATGAAATCATTATCGTTATCATTAATGGGAACATAGATTATGAACATAATAATAATAATCATAATAAACACATGTTAATCCAATAAACAGAGTTCTGCATGTAAAAGAGTACAGATAATAAATGAGAGGAATACAAAGGAATCTTAGCTTAATGACGATTCCTTAGAAGTTAGTCACGACGCTTCCTCTGATTCTCCTGGACTCGGCATGGAACACTAGGAGTTGATTAACATGGGAAAGGACAGCTCTGAGAATTCTTCTCTCACGCTGCAAAATAAATGTTTACAGTAGCAACAAATTAAACTACTGTATTTCTATGCTCATTAAAGTAATATTAATGGTAAATGAATGATAATGACCTGTGATTTATTGTTGTTATACGTCGTCGTCAAGCTACCCAGCTATAAGTCTACACCCTATCAGATGCATCAAATAAGGATAAGATACTTAGCTAATATGGGCACTGTGTAAGTTTAGGCTTGCCGAAATTCGCGTCCCAGGCTCTGGCTTGGCCTATCCTGGATAATGACGCGCTTCACTGGCCGGTCACGTGGAGTCACAAAGAACCAAAATTTAACAGGTTCCGTGAATGACACTGACACCAGGTGAAGGTATTGTCTGCAAGGCTCTTCACGCCTCACAGTGGCGACTTTCTTCTGTAGTATGAATAGCGTTTACCCCGATGACTGGGTAATGGCGTCTCCTCGTGAGCAACCTCGTCCACTCGTCCACTGCCATAGAACCGCAGAGGGCCAGGGCAGACTGGAGTTCATAGAGAAGGAATCATTTATAGGGAAGTTGGAGACGAGTGCAGAAATCTAAGGGATGAGATTCAAGAATGGGCTTACGAAGGAAGGATGGATTGAGGAAGATGAGAACCGGAGTTAACAGTCGAAAAGTGGGAACCCAGTTCAGTTGTGACCATTACTGGGTCTGCCACAAGAGTACCACGGAGGGGAAGGACCTGCGAGACATCGGGAACAAACTTACCCACTATCTTGCGGATATGCTTCCAGATCTGCGGTAGAGGAGTTTCGGACGTAATGGTGGAAACATAAGACTTTCAACACTCATGCTTAGCTGTACTGATGGTCCTACAGGCCACCGCACTCGCCTCCTGAAACAAAAGAAAAGAATCAGCCATCTGCTGGCGGTGGTGTCTTCCATGCTGCACGCTTACAGTGGACACCTTGAGCACAATCCACAGTCCACCAGGGGAATGCACTTCTGCGTTCCCCTAGAGGAGGAGCGAGGAATAGAGTGGAGGGCAGCGTCAAAGATGATGTCACGAAAAAGGAGGAGGGCGCGAGGGAGAGGCAGAATGGAGAGATCGGAAATAGTAGTATGGAGGGTAAATAGATTCCAGTCTGCCTTGGCAAACCACCACCTAGGGAAGGAGAGGGGGAAGGGTGAAAAGAGAAAACGGTAACAAGGATGGGGAAATGGTCACTGCCATGGAGGTCATCAAAAACTCGCCACGTGAAATCCAAGTAAAGAGACGACAAGCAGAAAGAAAGATCAAGACAGGAAAGTGTGCGAGTCCAAGAGTCCAAATGTGTGGGCTCACCAAATACAGAAGAGACAGGGAAGAAGAGAGGAGGAACGGTTCGAGAAGGCGACCCTGGGTGTTTGTCAGATCATCATCCCTGATGGTATGACGACAATTGAAATCACCCAGCAGGAGCACAGGCTCTGGCAAGGAGTCCACTATTTGTTTAAGATTGGGAAGAGAAAGCGGGACATTTGGGGGGAGATAAATGGAACAAACCGTATACAATTTATGCACAAAGACACGGGCAGCAGAACATTGGAGAGGCGACAAAAAAGAATAAGGGGACGAAGGGAATATCAGAACAAATCAAGAGAGCAGGAGAGTTATGGGGCCCCTGCAAAAGCGGTGGGGGGAGGGGAGGGAGGAAAGCAATAGCCTCGGAAGCAACCAGGACGAGCACCAAGCAACAGCTCCTGGAGACAGACACAAAGGAGCGAAAACTGTGATATCAGAAGTTGGAATTCATGGAAATTGGCATAATAACCACGAATATGCCATTGAAGAATAGACTTCGACAAAGACAAAAAGAGAAAGGACAGCAACAGAGAACAGTGAAGAAACAAAGGTTAAAAGCAACACAGCACGTCAAAGAAGATCAGGATCAGGGTCAGCAAAGTCAGGGTTAGGGGGCATGGGTAAACTGAGTAAGGATGGAAGGTAGGGAGCAGGAGGACAGACCAGAGGCAGAGGGACGGGGTCCAGAGGAGGAGGAGGAGACAACCTAGAGTGGTGGTCAAGGACAGCAGGAAGAGGGTGGGCAGAAACACGGGAGCGCACCTCAGCAAAGGTAGTAACAGAGAGAATCGGGGGCTAAAAAACCTCCATAGCTAGGACAAGGGGCTAAACCACTGACATGGGAGGGGACGTGGCGATAGAATTAGAAGTAGGGGTTGAGGAAGAAAGTGATGCCTTTTTACCCACCAGGGAGGAGAAAGGAGAGGAGCCAGGCTTATGTTTCTGACTCAAAGAGACAGGTGTTCCAGCAACTACGTACTGGGCGACAGACTCAATTGGGTCAACAGGAGAAGAAGAACGGGAGTGAACAACATGAAGATTGCTGGGAGGATAATGGACAACAGCCTGGACAGACAAATGGCATGGAGGGCCAAGAGACTGGGGGCAGGGTTGGGAAGAAGGATGATGGAGAACCAGGAGGGGGACCCTGTTCTCCCTTTGGAACAGAACATAAAGGAACAGGGGAGGAGGTGCTGGGTGTGTCCGGGTCTATAAGGCCTGAAAATGGTTGAGAGACTGAGTAAGGTGGGAAGGATGAGGAGAGGAAGAGCGCAACACGCGAGCATAAGATACGCCAGTGAAAGGGTTGAGATGGCGGACTTGGCGTTGCACTTCACGAAAGACAAACGATCCTGGTGTTTCATGTTGAGGATGCTTTGCTCAAGTTTGTAATATATATACACACGGGAGAAGGTAGGGTGGGCCTCACTGCAATTGAGGCAGCGAGCCAAGGAAGAAGAGAGCACTCTGTCTTAGAGTGACCTTCGTCCCCACACATGGGGCATAGAGAGACAGTACTTATGCATTTGAGGGCACCATGCCCGAATTTCCAGCACTTATTGCAAAGTTTAGGAGAGGTAATGTACTCCCGATTTGAGCATCTGACACCAGCAAGAATTATAGAGGGGCGGAAGGGTACTACTATCAAAGTTAATTTTCACAACTCGATGGGGCTGATGGCGACGACCACAAGGGAGTCGAGTGAACGTGTCCACCTGGAGGACAAAATGGCTTTGGGCTTCGAGGATACGTTTAATATCCTCGTGGCAGTCTTTTAGATCCCTAACACCAGTTACAACATGTTGCGGGAGAACAGTGCCAACACTGGCATTTAACCAATCATTTTTGGAGACCCTAACAGGAGTCTCCCCAATGCAGGACAATGTGGCTAAGTGGGTAGCTGCATCCTGAGGAGCAGCAGCGATGACACGTGTACCGAGATGGGTGGGGTTAAAAGTAACAGAGGCATCTACCAAATCAACAAGGTGTTTATGGAGGGAGAAATCATCACGAGATGTAGAATCCAGATGATTGAGATCAAAGTATTTAGCCAATGTAACGGGACCAAACAAACCTTGGTGCGTATTAGAATGGGAAAGGATTGTGCAAGTGCAGCCGTGGCAGGGAAGGCATTGAGAACCCCCAGAGAGAGAGAAAGAGGGGTTAAAAGGCGCAGTAGTCACAATGAGATTGAGTCGTATCAGGGGGATGAGGTCACCACTGGGGGCTTGGGGCTCGACTCTACCACAGAGAAGGGAGGGGAGCAGGGGGGAGTAGTCTGGTCTGAGCCTAATGTAGCGGGCGCTAGAGAGCTCGGTCTTCCAAGACAGTCCGACTCGGAGGCTTGGTCACCCACCCCACGAGCCTGAGAAGTTATAAGAGGATCATTATTCATAGACATAGAAACGAGGAGGTAATACTTTCATTCGCGTGAATGGCTCCATGGTCGGCATGCGTCCCCATACCCACCATGGAGCCACAATTAGAGGATAGGACACCTAACAAGAGACAGGCTGGGGCCCCTAGGGGTGCGTCGTGAGAATACGCCCCACAATCGCCACCTTAAGAACCGTCAGTTTGTCGAGATCGGGTTCAGTGACGAACGGAGGATTGACAATAGAAGCGTCCCCTCACTAGCAACGTTGGGTACCACAGTTCTACAGGTGAGTGAGCGAGCTTCTCCAAACACCCGGGCGTCAAAACAGAAGATGTCCGAAAGAATAATCAAGATTGGCAAAAGGTCGGCGGGAATGACAAGAGAGGAGAAGGGGGGGGGGGGGGGGGGGGGGGTGGGGTGGGTAAAACGAAACATAAGGAAAAGGAAAAAGATTTCCAGCATAATTCGTGAAGCCAGCAGCAGGAGCATAAGGCTTCAAAAGGACAGAGGACTGTCCCATGGAGCATCACTCCCCGGCAGCCGCCCACCAAGCCCCCTCACGACTACAACGACTGCTGGAAAGAGAATGGATGTGCATGTGTGTGTGTGTGTGTGTGTGTGTGTGTGCTTTTAAATGATCTGTCAGCAAAAGTTTGCTAATATCGCTGTGAGATAATTTAATAAGGCAGGTAATTAAGGCCAACATTGTGACCAGAACTGAAGCCTGCGGGCGCTTTAATCTGTTGGCATTAATGACATTGTTATAATAATGAAAATGTTGTTAAGAATAATAATATTGTTAATAGTTTGATTAATATTCTGACTTTTCTTGAAATTAAATTCAACAATTGTCACTTGTTTTACTTCTACTTTCACTACTTTTGCTCTACAACTCCTTTCAGTACTAGTACTACTACTACCACCACTACTAGTTGTGGTAGTAGTACTAAGACTGCACTCTAGGACTACACGCTAATACTGCACTCTAGGACTACACGCTAATACTGCACTCTAGGACTACATACTAAGACTGCACTCTAGGACTACATACTAAGACTGCACTCTAGGACTACATACTAAGACTGCACTCTAGGACTACATACTAAGACTGCACTCCAGGACTACACGCTAAGACTGCACTCCAGGACTACACGCTAAGACTGCACTCTAGGGACTACTACACGCTAAGGACTGCACTCTAGGACTACATACTAAGACTGCATCTCTAGGATACTACACGCTAAGACTGCACTCTAGGACTACACGCTAAGACTGCACTCTAGGACTACACGCTAAGACTGCACTCTAGGACTACACGCTAAGACTGCACTCTAGGACTACACGCTAAGACTGCACTCCAGGACTACACGCTAAGACTGCACTCTAGGACTATACACTAAGACTACACTCCAGGACTACACGCTAAGACTGCACTCTAGGACTATACACTAAGACTACACTCCAGGACTACACGCTAAGACTGCACTCTAGGACTATACACTAAGACTACACTCCAGGACTACACTCCAGGACTACACACTAAGATTTATGCAATACTGAACTCATCCGCAAAGATCCCGTTTCCGCCAATAAGAGCCTCTTCCCCCTTTAACACCCTCGTCCCAGAACACCTTCCTCCGTACCCCAGAATCCCCCTTACCTCAATATCCCCGGCTATAAGAACCCCCTTCTTACTCCTCCCACCCCAGAACCCCTTTCCGTAACCCCTCAGAACAGATCCCCCCGCCCCCTCTCCCCAGAGCCCTAAACCCCAGGCCCGACACTACTTAAAACCCCAGCCTAGGACCCACACTCCCTCCCCTCAAGACCCACAATAAGATGCGTGTACCAGCAGCAGTGGTACGAGGTGGTGGCCGGGTACCTGCTGGACGGACCACGGCCCCCAAGGACCTCCCAGGCCCAGGAGATCGTCAACAAGCTCGACTGGTCCGTCTTCAAGAACAAGAAGACCCACAAGATCAAGATCGCCAAGGACCCCGCCAAGGACGCTGCCAAGGACTCCCCGAAGGACGTGACCACCAAGGACTCCCCCAAGGACGCAGGAAAGATTAAAGAGTGAACAAGTTAATAAATTATGGAGTATCTTGGCATAAAATAAAGGCGTTCAGGTTTATTAAATAAAATCTTAAAATTTGTTTTTAAATCAAATCTTCGAGTATTTCTTTCTTCCTTACAGTCCTCACCCAGGAGGGAAATGCCTCACCCAGGAGGGAAATGCCTCACCCAGGAGGGAAATGCCTCACCCAGGAGGTAAATGCCTCACCCAGGAGGTAAATGCCTCACCCAGGAGGGAAATGCCTCACCCATGGGGGCGGGGGGGGGGGGGTTGATTCTGGATGAGCCAGAGGAATACTGACCGCGTGATACTCCAGCTTCTCCATCTCACCCGGGAAATATTCCTTGTCTGGTCTTCAATAAATGAGTAAAAATAGATCTTAAGTCAATGGGGCGTGAATGACATTATCCACTCGAGGATAATGTCCACTCTACATTATCCACTGTAGAGCGACGAGTGTTTAGAAAATTTGTATATTGCAGCTGTTGAATTTATTAATGTTTACGACACGATGCGAATGTTTTGTGAGGGAATGTTTTTATCTTCAGTTCGGCCATCTTGCCTGTTACTGCCTCGCATCACCACCACCACCACTAACATCACTACCACCATCACCACCCTCTGTACACTGGTGTCTCGGGTGGGTAGTTGTACACGCTGGAGAGACCTCTTGTTTCAATGTTTAAACTTCTCAATATTATTTTCTACGAGACTTACTGAGTACAACACAAGTGGACCGGATAGAGGTTAGTGTCTCGCCCCGCGGCTCGCCCCCCCCCCCCCCTTCCACGCCCGCGGCCCGCCCCCCCCCCGTCCACGCCCGCGGGCCTCGCGCCCCCCCCCCCCCGTCCCGCCCGCGGCCTCGCGCCCCCCCTGTCCACCGCCCGCGCCTCGCCTCCCCCCCGTCCACGCCCGCGGCCTCACGCCCCCCCCCCCCCCCCCCGCCCGCAGCGCCCCGCCCGAGCCGCGTCCTCGCCCCCCCCCGTCCACACGCCCGCGGCCTCGCCCCCCCCGTCCACGCCCGCGGCCTCGCGCCCCCCCCGTCCACGCCCGAGGCCTCGCCCCCCCCCCCCCCCCTGTCCACGCCCGCGGCCTCGCCCCCCCCCTTTCCACGCCCCGCCCTCGGCCTCGCCCCCCCCCCCTCGTCCACGCCCGCGGCCTCGCCCCCCCCCCCCTTCGTCCACGCCCGCGGCCTCGCCCCCCCCCCCTCGTCCACGCCCGCGGCCTCGCCCCCCCCCTCGTCCACGCCCGCGGCCTCGCCCCCCCCCCCTCGTCCACGCCCGCGGCCTCGCCCCCCCCCCCCCTCGTCCACGCCCGCGGCCTCGCCCGCCCCCCCCCCTCGTCCACGCCCGCGGCCTCGCCCGCCCCCCCCCCCCTCGTCCACGCCCGCGGCCTCGCTTCCACAACCCCCCCCCCCCCCCCCCCCCCCGTCCCCGCCCCCGCCCGCGTACCTACCAGCGCGGCCTCGCCCGCGTCGACACTGACGGTTAGTTAGTTTACAGCATCATGGGGGTCGAGTGGGAGGAGGAAACGAATGTGATTAACATCGTTTTTTTTTTTTTTTTTCCTGTAAGTTAACTGTTGACACACAGCGCTGAAGTTATGTGAGGACCCGCGACCCTTAGCTGGGGCGAGTGTCGTGCGTCGCCGTGACACACCTGGTGTAACACATGGATGCGACACAGCTGTTGACACACACCTGCATGTGTCGCTGCGTGTCTGACGCGAGCCGGGATGAAGTCCACACGCACATGTATCACAGCGAGACGTGGGAGAGGCTGACTCTTGCTTCACCGCTGATCATTGAGAGTTCTCTCTCCTCCACCAGGAAGGCTTCCAGTACCTCTCTCTCCCTCCTGTCACGTCCTGTCCCATGTTCACCACTCATGGTGAACACGGCGTCCTGTCACTCCCGTAAGTTAGGCCTCCCGTCCACGGCCCCTGACTACATATACACTGTATGTATACTGTCAGTACCACTGTGAATTATGTATACTTGTTCTCCTTTCGAGTCTGGCAAGGTCCAGCACCGTCAAGTGAGTGCGTGCGTGCAAGAGTGCGTGAGAGTGCATGAGAGCGAGTGCACTTTCACTGACAGTTACTGTAATGACCAACACGCCGACTACTCACTGCCTCTGAACCACACTACTGCCTCTCTCTCTCTTACCACCACACTACTGCCTCTCTCTCTCTTACCACCACACTACTGCCTCTCTCTCTCTTACCCACCACACTACTGCCTCTCTCTCTCGTACCACCACACTACTGCCTCTCTCTCTCTTACCACCACCACTACTACTGCCTCTCTCTCTCTCTCTACCACCACACTACTGCCTCTCTCTCTCTCTCTTACCACCACACTACTGCCTCTCTCTCTCTCTCTCTTACCACCACACTACTGCCCTCTCTCTCTCTTACCACCACACTACTGCCTCTCTCTCTCTTACCACCACACTACTGCCTCTCTCTCTCTTACCACCACACTACTGCCTCTCTCTCTCTTACCACCACACTACTGCCTCTCTCTCTCTTACCACCACACTACTGCCTCTCTCTCTCTTACCACCACACTACTGCCTCTCTCTCTCTTACCACCACACTACTGCCTCTCTCTCTCTTACCACCACACTACTGCCTCTCTCTCTCTTACCACCACACTACTGCCTCTCTCTCTCTTACCACCACACTACTGCCTCTCTCTCTCTCTCCTCTCGCCCTTTACCACCACACTCGCCACCCACACTACTGCTCTCTCCTACCACCACACTACTGCCTCTCTCCCTACCACCACACTACTGCCTCTCTCTCTATCTACCACCACACTACTGCCCCTCTCTCTCTACCACCACACTACTGCCTCTCTCTCCTACCACCACACTACTGCCCCTCTCTCTTACCACCACACAACTGCCTCTCTCTCTCTCTCTCTTACCACCACACTACTGCCTCTCTCTCTCTTACCACCACACAACTGCCTCTCTCTCTCTCTCTCTTACCACCACACTACTGCCCCTCTCTCTTACCACCACACTACTGCCTCTCTCTCTCTCTCTTACCACCACACTACTGCCTCTCTCTCTCTTACCACCACACTACTGCCTCTCTCTCTCTCTCTCTTACCACCACACTACTGCCTCTCTCTCTCTTACCACCACACTACTGCCTCTCTCTCTCTTACCACCACACTACTGCCCTCTCTCTCTCTCTCTTACCACCACACTACTGCTCTCTCTCTCTTACCACCACACTACTGCCTCTCTCTCTCCCCACCACACTCTGCCTACCACCACACACTGCCTCTCTCTCTCTCTCACCACCACACTACTGCCTCTCTCTCTTACCACCACACTACTGCCTCTCTCTCTCTTACCTTACCTACCACCACTACTGCCTCTCTCTCTCTCTCTCTCTTACCACCACACTACTGCCTCTCTCTCTCTCTCCACACTACACACACTCTACTCTAACACCACACACTCTGCCTCTCTCTCTTACCACCACACTACTGCCTCTCTCTCTCTTACCACCACACTACTGCCTCTCTCTCTCTTACCACCACACTACTGCCTCTCTCTCTCTCTCTTACCACCACACTACTGCCCCTCTCTCTCTCTCTCTCTCTTACCACCACACTACTGCCTCTCTCTCTCTCTCTCTTACCACCACACTACTGCCTCTCTCTCTCTTACCACCACACTACTGCCTCTCTCTCTCTTACCACCACACTACTGCCTCTCTCTCTCTTACCACCACACTACTGCCTCTCTCTCTCTTACCACCACACTACTGCCTCTCTCTCTCTTACCACCACACTACTGCCTCTCTCTCTCTTACCACCACACTACTGCCTCTCTCTCTCTTACCACCACACTACTGCCTCTCTCTCTCTTACCACCACACTACTGCCTCTCTCTCTCTTACCACCACACTACTGCCTCTCTCTCTCTTACCACCACACTACTGCCTCTCTCTCTCTTACCACCACACTACTGCCTCTCTCTCTCTAACCACCACACTACTGCCTCTCTCTCTCTCGCCACCACACTACTGCCTCTCTCCTACCACCACACTACTGCCTCTCTCTCCTACCACCACACTACTGCCTCTCTCTCTACCACCACACTACTGCCTCTCTCTCCCTCTTACCACCACACTACTGCCTCTCTCTCTCCTACCACCACACTACTGCCCCTCTCTCTTACCACCACACTACTGCCTCTCTCCACCACACTACTCTCTCTCTCTCTTACCACCACACTACTGCATATCTCTCTCTCTCTTACCACCACACTACTGACTCTCTCTCTCTTACCACCACACTACTGCCTCTCTCTCTCTCTCTCACCACCACACTACTGCCTCTCTCTCTCTCGTACCACCACACTACTGCCTCTCTCTCTCTTACCACCACACTACTGCCTCTCTCTCTCTTACCACCACACTACTGCCTCTCTCTCTCTTACCACCACACTACTGCCTCTCTCTCTCTTACCACCACACTACTGCCTCTCTCTCTCTCACCACCACACTACTGCCTCTCTCTCTACCACCACACTACTGCTCTCTCTCTCTCTACCACCACACTACTGCCTCTCTCTCCTACCACCACACTACTGCCTCTCTCTCTCTCTCCTACCACCACACTACTGCCTCTCTCTCTCCTACCACCACACTACTGCCTCTCTCACCTACCACCACACTACTGCCCCTCTCTCTTACCACTACACTACTGCCTCTCTCTCTTACCACCACACTACTGCCTCTCTCCTACCACCACACTACTGCCCCTCTTACCACCACACTACTGCCCCTCTTACCACCACACTACTGCCTCTCTCTCACACCACCACACTACTGCCCCTCTCTTACCACCACACTACTGCCTCTCTCTCTCTCCTACCACCACACTACTGCCTCTCTCTCACCACCACACTACTGCCTCTCTCTTACCACCACACTACTGCCTCTCTCTCTTACCACTACACTACTGCCTCTCTCTCTTACCACCACACTACTGCCTCTCTCTCTTACCACTACACTACTGCCTCTCTCTCTTACCACCACACTACTGCCT